TGACCTTGGGGCCTGGCACTGTCCCTGAGCTTCTTTTGCTCAAGGCTAGTGCTCCACCACTTGAGCCACAGTGGCCACTTCTAGTTTTTTCTCAGCAGTTTATTGGAGATAAGAGTGTTACAGACTTTCCTGCCCAGGATGGCCTCAAACTGTGATCCTCAGATTTCAGCCTCCTGGGTAGCTAGGCTTACGGGTGTGAGCCATCTGCACCCAGCTTCTTCAACTTTTGATGTGCAATTTCTACACTAATTGGATAATTAGTGAAGGATAAGGCAGTGTGATAATCTTGATCATTAACTATTTGGATTGAGAAGCATCTAGGAGATTGGTAGAGCACTTTTTCTGGGTGTGTCTTTGACCCTGTTTCCAGAAAGGAGTAACTATGACCCGTCCAGCAGGTTCAGTTATTCGTTAGGCTCGAGGAGGCGCCTCCTAAAAACCAATGGGGGCGAGAGAGAAAAGAGACCAAGCCCATAAAGGAAGACAAAGTCAGTCTGAGTCGCGTCAAGGTCTGCTTTATTGAGCTCAGAGTAGGGTTTTTATACCCACAGGGGCGGTGGGAATGGGAAGGGGAAGAATGAAAAAACTTTGCAGAAGCAAGGGTGAGAAGTCCCGGGGTCAGGGATGGGTCGTGCTTTTCCATTGGCCGTTGTGCTAATCTTAAAGGTACTTCCTGTAGTTTCTCTAAGAGACATTTATGGTTAGCCAGGCGGCCGCTTGCTTAGGGCTGGAGATAAGAGAAATGTTTTTGGGTAGTCAAATGTTGTCTGCTTAGGGCTGGAGGAATATTTATGGTTAACCAAATGTAGTTTGTTTAGGGCTGGAGGAATCTTATCTTTCCATACACTTTCTTGGCTTCCAACATAACTAAAGGAGGAAGACATGTCCTGAACGTGAATGGCACCATCCCGTAGGCTAGGACTCAGGAGGAATAGAAGGGGGAAGAGGAGAAAGCTGGAGAGAACAGGTCCCCTCTCTGTTTCCTGGCTGCTATGATGTGAACTACTTGGAGCCACATGTCCTCCCTGCTATGATGAAACGGTGAACCAGAATAAATATTCCCCCGTTAAGCTGCTTATGTTGAGGATTTTGTCCCATTGATACAGAATGAGCCACTGTATTTGTCTGCTTAAAGGCACAGAGAAGCAACTTCTTGGTTATGACCATTCCATAAAACTCTTCATAGTGATTAAAAACCATTCACATAGTCAGATCTCTTCATACCGGACCATCTGCCTCACAATTAAAAAAGAATACTAGCAGAGTAATTTTTTTTTTTTACCAAAAAACAAACCCAATAAGTATGAAAGCTGGGTGTGGAGGCGGGAGCAAGGCTGACCCACAGCAGAGGACCTTGCTTGCATACGCCAGATTCCTGCTCAGAAACAGATCATGCCAGTGGCAACAAACATTACCATGAATGCTGAGAGTCTTCTGGCTGATTTCTCTTGCTGCTTTTGTGCCTCAGTTTCTTCAGCCTGGTGGGAGTGCATAGCAAAGCAAAAACCACTCATCTCATGGCTAGGAAGTAAAAGAAAGGCAGAAGGGTCCGGAAGGTCCCATAGTCTCCTTCAAGTCTCCACTGACCTGAAGATCTATTAGGCACAACCTCTTAAAAAGGTTCCACTACCTCCCAATAGTGCCAAGCTGGAGCCCAAGCTGGGCCTCTGAGAGACATTCAAGATCTAAAGCAGATCCACAGTCCTGCTTTTGGAAAAGGGTATAATGAGGAAGAGGACTCAGAAAGTGGCTTAAGTCACAGAATTAGTGGCTTTCATTAAGAAATCACCTGTCCCTGTCCCTGGGGTCTAATCCAAGTCACCAGCATTCTTTAGGGCTCTCTTAAAATCCAGATAAAGATCCTTTTTTTGGTCAGTTGTGGGACTTGAACTTGGGGTCTGGGCACTGTCCCTGAGCTCTTTTTGCTCAAAACTAGCAGTCTACCACTTTCAGCCACAGTGCCACTTCTGGTTTTCTGATGGTTACGTGCAGATAACAGTCTTACAAACTTTCTTCTGGGGCTGGCTTTGAACCATGATCCTCAGATCTCAGCCTCCTGGGTAGCTAGGCTTATAGGCAGGAGCCACCAGCCCCTGGCAGATCAGATATTTTTAGTTTGTCTCAAAGATTGCATATTTTAATAGCTGTATACTATTTGTAGAGGTGCATATACAGAAGCTCTCCAAGTAATTCCAACATGCATGACGTTGACAACATTGTGGGAAATCCGAAAGCCCCAAAGGTATGGTCTGGTTTGGTGAATTTGGGGTCAGAAATGGTCTGCTGTAGGCAAAGAACAGGGGTCTGTCATGAAGAGACTCCAAAATCATGACCACCCAAAATGAGAATGAAGGAGGAAAAGGTTGGGAGTGGGCGCTCCTCTTTGGAAATAGTCCTCCTTTTGGACTGTGGGTAGAATCACACTCTACAAGGATGCCGAAGCTGTGCACAGCTCCCGTATTGTATGTGTAGCTTAGAATACCACACTGCTCCCTCACTTCCTGGGGCATCATTTGGGACAACCCTCCTCTAGAAATCACCTCCTCAACTCTGTGGGCAGATCACAGCCCTGTGTCTGTTTTTCCTTTCTTTGTCTGCTAGGTGCCTGGCAGATTTCTTTAAACTGTCAACAACATGCTAAGCAAACCGTTATCAAACTGAGGTGAGCACCTTAGTTTTATGACAGATGTGTTTTCCAGCAAGAAGTCTCAGACTTGAACATATGAGCATGGATGGTTGGAAGTCTTGCTAAAACAGAATTTCAGGCTGGGCACAGTGGTTCACACCTGTAATCCTAGCTACGTAGAAAGCTAAACACTCAAGAACAAAGTTGGGAGGTTGCTGCAGTGGTTGCCTACACACGCACCTGTGTGTTTTGTGTTGTGCCCAAGGACACACAAGTAAATATTCTGACTACTTCATGGCTCCAAGGTCATTCCCACCGTTACGTGTTAATCCTCAAATGAGAAAAGTTTGTGAATATTACATAAGACTATGAGTTAATGAAGGAATTAATTGGATAAAACCTGTCCCTTTGGTCAGAGCCCAGAACAGGGACCAGATGTGGCGCCCTCTGGTGTTAGAAGTGAACAAGTATCCTGTCACAGTAGAATAAAAGGCAATGTGGCCAACATTCCTTTATGACCATAGGTAACTTTGGAAAGGGTTGAGATGCTGACACTGTTTTTAAGGGGGCTGCTCTATGTGAATTTATCCATAAACATGTCAGGTGAAAGCTGAGAGGAGAGCCTAGCAGGTCTTTGCCAAGGGTGATGCCTTTTTTGTTTTGAAGGCAGTGGTATTAACCACTAGCTGCCCCCTGGAAAAGAAAATCCAGATGTTTAACTAGGCAGATTGTGAAATGAGCTATGTCTTTAGGAAGATACCAACAATAGCTCCACAGAGAGCAAACGCAAACATCTATGCAAGTTAAAAATTAATATGACCAGGGAAGCGCTAAATTATACTTTGCACGCACAGCAATCGGGTATATTTAGAACAACCTGAGAAAGCGCATTAGGAAACCATAAACCAAGTTGAGTGTCCCTTACCTTAAGATGACAGATGTTCTCTGTCCTTATATTTTCTAGTATTTCTTTACTGGACTCTTCTGCTTTCAGATCATTAATATTTGCATTGGGCATCCTTTTGGGGCTTTTATTGTCTGTTCTTAAGTTTGCCTTAAGAGATTTCATTAGCTATTCCTTGCTTGTATTCTCTGTGCTCTTCCCAAACTACTGTCTTCTCCTGAGCCAGATCTCAGTCTGTTACTCCAGTAGCATCAGGTTCTGGTGTAGGCTTATGGCTGAACTTCTGGCCACTCATGTATTCCTCAGATATCCATCCAGTCTTCCATTGAACATAACACTGGTCTTTCTTTTCTTGGGGGGGGGGGAGTGGTAGTAGGTCATAGGGCTTGAACTCTGGGCCTGGGCGCTGTCCCTCAGCTCTTCAGCTCAAGGATGGCACTCTACCACTTGAGCCACAGCACCACTTCTGGTTTTCTAGTGGTTTATTGGAGATAAGAGTCTCACCAACTTTCCTGCCTGGGCTGGCTTTGAACCGCGATCCTCAGATCTCAGCCTCCTAAATGAATAAGATTATAGGCATGAGCCACTGTCGCCCAGGTTTCTAATTTGATTTCAAGAGTGTGGCTTTAACAATATTGTAACGTTTTCCTCTAGGGTCCTAGTGTAGGTCCCATATCCCAGTGTTGCCCTTTCTCAAGGGCATGGAGACTGGCTGCACCAGTGCGCAGATGGGATCCTCAGAAAGGGAGATTCTGGCTGCTGCCTCTGCCCATGTGGATTTAGGGCTGGAGCTGCTTGGCCAGAACCCTGCATTATGCTTAGTGAGCATGGGTGAGCACGGGCATGCTCCTGGGTGGAAACTTCACTGGCTTCCGCGCCTGCTGTGGGGAGGGAGGAAGGCCTCAGGGTCTTTCTATACTCCAAGGCATCAGCTATCAGGTGTTCTGAGGTTGGTGGGTTCTTGGGTCCTCTTTGTGAGAAGCCCTGTTCTGTTGCAGGAATTCAGAGACTGGCCCGACTCCTGCCGTCAGGCTGCAGCAGCTTGGAGCAGGGGAGGAAGCATGTTGGGAGACTGCTCCCTCCTCAGCATGTGAAACTCCTGGCTGTCTTGCAGTCTTTCCCACTTCCCTGGCACTTTTTTGGCCTGCTACCTCACTGGGTCTTTACCTCTCGCAACATCTTGAACTCTGATTCAGAGTCTCATTCTCAAGCAAGGTGGCAGGTGAGTCCCGACTGGTCACGTCTGGGAATTCAGCTCCCCCCATAATACTTCTGGGAACTTCCTGCAATATTCCAAGGAAAGCACAAATAGTGCTGAGCGAGGATGCTCCAGCCCCTCGATCCTGCCATGAACACTAGGACCTCCTTCTCTGAGCCGCTCAGGTTGCATGAACCCTGTGTGCCCAGGACACAATGGGACCAGACTTTTGCCTGTGAGTGACACTTGAGTCTTTAAGAAGACAAACTGACTCCAAATCTAAAACTACTTTTATTTGTACTTGGCTCAACAATAAGTCACCATCATTGATCAGCAGAATTATAAAACTGTACAGGAGGTACAAAAATAGGCTGTTTAGCTTCGATAATGACCTCTTATCATCAAGCATTAAAAATACACATAAAAAGTTGTACAATCTGGCAGTTTACAAAATAGAAAGCTAAAAAGGACTTTAGGTTCCATAAAGAGGATTATATCTCATGATCAACATTTACCAATTAACTGTTCATAGAGAAGACAATGGCACAGGATTTCAAAATGGAAAAAAAAATCACCCAAAAATGAACATTTTACCCCGACCAAATTATTCACCCTTTAAGGATAAGACTACTTACTGCAAAGCAGAAGGATACAGTATAACTTTTCTTTTTCCAGTTTTAAAATGGTCAGGGATGCTGTCCAAAATAGATCTGATATGCTTTTAGCAAGTGCAATTGTAACTGGTTATACTTCAGAGTAAAAATTAAATAAATATAAATAGGTTCAATAAATAGATCATTGCAAAAGAACACTACAACAAGGCATACAGGTGAGAACGATGTGTGCAGACTGTGATGTGGAGGTGAGTGGGGAGTCCCCCTCCCTGTCACAGCTTCAGGGACACAAGGAAGGAAGGAACACTGTACCCACCAAGCCCACAGCGCACAGGACGGTGAGCCCACGGGGACGTGGGCTGGCAGTATGGTTAAGGCTGCTCCAGGGAGACCCATAGCAGATGTGCCCTTTGTGGCTTTCCAATGAATATATAAAGACTTAAAAGTGCCTAACAAACCAGACTTATTCATGAGAAATCATTATTTCACAAAGAAGAAAAGAGTGGACACCTTGCACTAGAGGTTAATTGGCTTGCCCAACCCTGAAATTTGGGATCCCCACACAGAATGAGGACTTTCTTCCGCACAAGGCCAGATGCAGGCCAGCGATGAACACCACTGCTCCCCGATGTGGAAGGGCAGGAAAGAAGGGCTGGGAAACAAAGAAGTGCAATTTCAAGGAATACCAAGAGCAGCAGAGAGCAGGGCTAATGGGGAAACTTCAAGTGGCTCTTTCCAGGGCTGCTGGCTCCTCCAATGCAGAACAAAGACAATGAATGGGAAGCAGACAAATGAAGATCGGGGACTAGGTGGGGCGGAGCCATCAGGAAAACACATGTGGCCAAAGTCCTATCCCTGAAAAGAGAGTGACCATCTCTAAAGCAGGCGAAGAAAGAACTGCCAATGATCACTTGCAAAGCCTCTTCACAAGTCAGGTCAGCTCCGATGAGGAACTAACTTATCTTCAAAGCTGGTAAAAGGAAAGCAGCAGCTGGACCCACTAGTCCTGGGACCTCCAACATGATACTGGGCTGTGACTGACCAGTGATCTCAGGGGAAAGAGCCTAGGACAACCGCTTCACTGACTTTTTAGGGTTGCCTCTTCAGCGTGGGCTCATGTTCAGCCAAGGGATGATCTAGTGACATACCAGGTGACACCAGTGTTCCCAAAAGTGCAAATGCTTTGGTGCCAATGACATGTGGAACTTTTAAATATAAATGGAAGATTTAAGAAGCAACAAGAAAAAAGGTTCATGCCAGAGAAAGGTTCAACACAAGACTTAAGCAAGTTACAGTATCCTTTGATTCTTGAAGGAGGTCATTCAGTTCTGTCTTTGAGATGAAGACGGTACACTTCTAAAAGGTAAACAGCCTGCCAAGAATAATAAGAGCCCTGTAACTTGAGCTAATGACACCCAATGCTGAAGAGCTGTTCAGGCTTGAAGAAAGTCCCCTCCTCCTTAGGAGCCAAACACAAGGGGCCACCAAGCTTTCAGAGACTGGAATACACCAGACGACGCCCAAGAGGTTTTCATCAAAAGTGCCCCAAGACCTCTTTAGATGACCTGGGTCCCTCAGAGTAAAGGAGAGGACAGACACAAGGTGGCCTGAATGGAGCCAATGGGGTCTCAGACACGGGCAGTACTAGGGCAGAAAAGGGGCAAGCCCCACACTACACCTTTCCCCAGCTATTTGGGTTTCTTTAGGGCCCTGATACTCATTTGCTGCCGGCTCTCTCATGAGAAGGTTTATGACAGCAGAAGTTTCTTTTGTCTCGTTCACCCATTTCCCTAGCCTCCACAGCCTGCCCAGCTCGACAGAGTAAATGCTCAAACAAAACACAATGAATAAAAGATTTTACAAAATTGAAGTCCTTAGAAATTAACTGGTAAGTGGAAAAGGCATTTGAGAAAAAGCTGTCTCCTAGCAACTTGGGTTCAAACAGCGAGGACCTCTAGAAACCAACCGGGCCTTCCTCAAGAGGAAAAACAGCCACAAGAACAGGGGAGCGGCAGTCCCGTGGCGGTCCTGTTAGGTCCAGCCTGGCACCCCCCTATCTCCTCACACTTTCTCTTGTACTGTCACTTCTTGAGTCCACTGGCAAAGTGCGAAGGTAGGAGATGCCCAGGGAGCCAATGATGGGGCCAAGGTTCCACAGATGGGGTCACTGCTGAGTTTCAAAGACATAGGGTCCTGTTCAGAAGAAAGGCCACTCTGGCCACTTCGGCCATTTTGAAAGCATAAAGAATTGAATTCTAGAGGCAGAATAGGCTTTGGATAAGTGGCCCTGATGCACACATATCCAGAAGACCTCTCACAGGAAGAGGCAGCGAGGACTTCTGTCCCTGTGAAAGCTGACAATGCTGCTTTCTCCAGGAAACTAGTAGAACCTCAGCTCACCAGCAGTGCCCCTGCGCTGGCTGCAGAAATTCACAGGGTGATTCCTCCCAAAGACTTCAGACTTCACTGCGCTCTACCCTCTAACCCCTCACGAAGGAGACACAGGAAAAGTTCTCACTGAAAATAAAGTTAAAAATGGTATTAATTTTAGAGAAAATAGGAAGTGATCATGTAAGGAATGTCACTTTGACATGAATACGTTTACACGGTGTTGCTAGAATGCTTTAGTTTCAGCATTAGAGAGAGTTCTCCATGGAACACTCTTAAGGGGATGGCAGTTTTTGGTACCATACAGAATAGAAGGTAATAGAGCTTGCATTTCTTCTTCACAAGTAAGCATCAAGTTTAGCTCACTTAGGCTAATGGAGCTTTCTATAGTAAGATTAAAATACAGTCATTAAAACTTGCCAGGAGAACCATCAAATCTGGCTCAGCAAGCCGGGGGTGACCCTGGCCTTGGATCTCTGTGCCGGGTTCTGACTCACTGTGTGTCCTCATCTGTTGGCCTCTGGGACAGAGGGACCTTACAAGTCACTCTCTGGCTCAGAGCTTTCTCTGCGTGGCTGGGAGGCTCCCTGTGGGCTGCTCCCATTTGTTCTTGAGGCCTGTCCCTGTCTGTGAACTCTTCACCTCTGGCCCAAACGGCCGAGGACACAATCTACCACAGGTCATGGCTGTGCTGGGCCAGCACCGCTTCCAGAACAGAGTGTTCTCTTTGTCTTCCAGAGAGCTACAGATGCACTTCAGGGGTCTGAGTGCATTGCTGACCAGCCCCTAACTTCACGCCCGATGCTCACGGCTTTGCTGCCTGAAGCAACACTGGCTACCATTAATCTGGAGTCTAAGGGCCTCTTTACGATCAATGAGGCGCCTCCTGTGCCCAGGGCAATACTTGTGAATGACCTCTTCCATGCCCCATACCTCTCAAGCCCATTTCCAGCAGAAGCGCTTACTGCATCCCAACACACAGGCAAGCCTTAGGGTTCCCTTACTCCCTTCCAGAAAGGCCTCCACACTGCTGTCAGACAGAAATTTTAAAAAGAAATGTCGGTTGACACGAGTTCATCCAGCAGAAGGTCAATGGTGCTCCTCTTGCAGCCTCTGGGATGGACCCTCCTTTGCAGACATCCTGCCTAGAAAGCTTTCAGGGCCAGCCTCTTCCCAGCTCCCTGTAGAGGAGGGGCCACCTCTTCCACTTCCTGAGGTCAGCATTAGCCTCCGCTGGCTGCACAGTGGCAGCTCAAGGCACTTGGTTTGGGAAGCCTGGTCTCCCTGCTAAGCCTGGAGGTGCAGAGGTCTGGACTGCAGAGACCAGGCCCAGAGTCTAGCTGCGGCCATCAGATGGAGGGGCTGTGTGCTCAAAGGGTGTCTGTAGTCACTGGGGGCTGGGGCTCCGGGGGCTCATGGTAGTAGTAGGGCTGGAAGAGTCTTTCGTGGCTGCACAGCTCCATGGCCTGGTAGGTATGTGAGAGGAGGTGGGGGAAGCGTGATGTGAAGTAGCGAACAAATTCTTCAGGGAGGGAGCCCAGAGTCTCCCGCACCTCCACAGGGAGTTCCCGGTAGTGGTGCTTCTGCAGACGGGCAGACACACAGAGGATTAGCAGCTGGAAGGCACAAAATAGCTGAAAAGAGGTTTAGGCACCTAGCAATTCATCCATCCATCCATCCATCCATCCATCCATCCATCCATCCATCATCCATCCACCCATCCATCCATCCATCCATCCACCCATCCCGATCATCCTGCCTGCTTCCCCTCTTCAGGAAGAGGCTCAAAGCAAGCAGGGCCAGCCTGGAAGAACTGAAGATCCACTACTAGAGTATCCGTCTGACAGGGGTGCACAGGCCTCCTGTGACGGTCAGGACCAAGAGGGTCCTGATGGTTACAAATGGAATAAACTCATGTGGAACTGACATATCTGTCCAAGTGGGCTTGGAGGCCACTTTGGAGTCACCCTGTTTGAAGGCTGCTGTTTGAAGGATGTCAATCAAGATCCCTTATTCAATAACCTTCCTACCTGGCCCAGGGAGGAAGGGGCCTAGCGGTTCCTGTTAGACTGTGTTTACACAGAGTTGTATAAACTTTTAAAAGTTAGCACAGGGGCTGGGAAGTGGCTCAGTGGTAGAGCGCTTGCCTTGCATGCATGAGGCCCTGGGTTCGATTCCTCAGCACCACATAAGCAAAAAGAAAAAAGCCGGAAGTGGCACTGTGGCTCAAGTGGTAGAGCGCTAGCCTTGAGCTGAAGAGCTGAGGGACAGCGCCCAGGCCCAGAGTTCAGGCCTCATGACCGGACCCAAAAAAACCCAAAAACCAAACCAAACCAAACAAAGTTAGTACAGATAGACCATGAAGGCTACAGGCTCTAAGAGGCTATCCCCCAGAGATTAATTCTGCACCTCCATAACTTCTCCACAGAGAAAACCTGTGAGGGAAGAAATAGCCTCCAACTTGTCAAGTCCAGCCGTGCCCATCTGGCCTCTCAGAGAAAAGAATACACAGGAATAGAAATGCATAGGTGTGTCTGTTGTTGCCACCTCCCCTGCAGGACCCATAACCCTGTACCTTATTTCTCATGGCTCGGAGGAGATCTCTGACAGAGCCACCTTTGTAGGTTCTGAATTTACGCAGATCTAGACAAATGTTAAAGATGGAAATGGTTAAGTAAGTAACTTTTTAAAAGAAAACATTCCCTAGGGTCCTGGGAACTCAGCCACTAGACTGAGATACTACATCCTATCATCCTTGGGTTCATGGGAGTGAGTGGCATCCCATGGGCCGGAGAGTGATGATCACCTGAAGTCCACCTAGGTTCCACTCAGGTCAGAAGAGAACCCCTACACCATCACACTGTCATTGGCCTGTTACTCTAAGTAACACATATCAAAGACCCATCAGTGTAACCAAACCCTAGAGGATAACCCAAGAAAGAAGCAGGGGGGGACCCCCTTGCACCAAAATTCACAACCCTACCCTCAGAACAAAATAAAAACAACTTGGCTTGAAAAAAAAAAGAAGAAGCAGCAGCAGCAGGGTGGGGAACGCCAAAAGCCTGGAGCGGCCCTGCTCACGCCCTGCTAACTTCATAGGAAGGGCTGGTGCTTCTGAAGTGCTGCTTCCTGGGCTGCACATCGTTACCTGTCTGGAGGGGGACGGTGATGTTCTCCCGCCAGTCCATCTTCACCACGGCTCTCCCGCCTCTCTCTAACTGCCTCACTATTGGGCCATCCAGGGATTCCTTTTCTATTCGGTCACTCACGTCCTGTAAAGGAAACAAGCACAGATGCTGGACAGTGTGACATGGGAAGCTGGAGAATGTCCCCCCTGCACAGAATGATCACTGCCATGTGGGCTGCAGCCTGCCTCAGACCTGGGCAGCGAGCACCTGAGACCTGCCACTGATTTCTCCCCTGTGAGGCTGAGGCCTGTGGAGACCCTCTCCACCACAGAGGAGGTGTCTCAGAGGCATGCTTGTACTCAGATCATGAAGACATCTCTGGAATTTCATATATGTACATATGTGCCACACTTACAGAATTGTAAGTGTGATCAATATTTGTGAACCAAAATGCACAAAGGAAAATAAAACTCAAGTTATCCTGTGCTTTGTCCACACAATGAAACACTCAAGTCCTAACTGGTGGGCGTCATGATCACATCTCCCTCAAACATTAGACATGCCATGAAGTTGAGACTTCTTTTCCATGAAATTCTGTGGTGAGAGTAAAAGATCTGGTGGCCCCACCTGTGTTTGCTTTAGGCAAGACGAGAGGATCAGAAGGCACCAGAGTACTGGCCCCTCTGAGCCCTGCGAATAATAAAACAGGTCACACTTGGGGGATCAGGGAGTGATAAATATTCTCCTCTCCCCATGCTGAGCAGCCTTCAAAAGGCCATGGTTTGGGTCAAGTCCTAATTTGAACTTCTAGAGAAAATGCTTGAACGATTGCATTATCTCCTTGGGCATATCAAAGACACTTGTTTTTGAATCTTCAAAGCAGTTCTAGTTATTCAGCATGGATGGAAGCCAGCTGTTTGAGGCATACAACTTAGACATCCGTGGTGGGATAAACATTCTTTTGTGCATGTTTTGTTTCTGTTCGTTATTTTGAGCAGAGGGATCAGTCCTGATCTACACATACCCACCGCTCTCTGGAATATGGCATTGATCCTCTCTTCCCCTCCACTCAAACTGTTACTAAGCACTTGCTGAGGGCCAGGCAGTGTTCTTCCTAGGTACTGGGGACAGAATAGTCACTCCTGCTCTCAAGGAACTTAAGTTCTGGGGTCTTCACTACAGCCAAGACCCCGATCAGACTCCAGAATAGTGTGTATCACTTCTTAATCATGATGCTTACCACACCACACCCTGCCACAAGCCTGCTCTTCAGAGTCATGTGCAGTATGGGAAATAGTCTGGTGAGCCAGGAGCTGGTAGCTCATGCCTGTAATCCTAGCTACTCAGGAAACTGAGATCTGAGGATCGTGGTTCCAAGCCAGCTTGGGCAGGAACGTCCATAAGAATCTTTTTTGTTGTTGTTGCTGTTTTTGTTGGTAGTGGGGCTTGAACTCTGGGCCTGGGTGCTGTCCCTGCATTCTTCAGCTCAAGTTGAGCACTGTACCACTTAAGCCACAGAGCCACTTCCAGTTTTTTTCTAGTAGTTTATTGGAGATAAAAAGTCTCACAGCCTTTCCTGCCTGGGCTGGCTTTGAACCATGATCCTCAGATCTCAGCCTCCTGAGTAGCTAGGATTACAGGTATGAGCCACCAGCATCTAGCATGAGACTCATCTCCAGTTAACCACCAGAAAACCGGAAGTGGTGCTGTGGCTCAAGTGGCAGAGAGCTAGCCTTTAAGCTGAAGAGCTGAGGGACAGCACCCAGGCCCAAAGTTCCAAGACCCACGACCACCATCACCACCAACAACAAAAAAAGTCTGGTGAGTCCTCCTTAACTCACAGTACCTAAGACCAAGAAAGTCTCCAGTAAGCTATCTGCAAATCACAAAGCATAAAACTGTCCAATCAACAAAGGAGTTCATGGTATTGATTCCATAATTTAACTTTGCAGCATCTACAGAGATGAGTCACTTGTTTTGTTCTTTGTCTTCTCTGTATTTTCAAACTCTGGGGGACATTAAGTGAAGTTTTTGATGGAGAAACAGGTGCAGGTACCTGGAAGAACTGGAGCTGCTTTTCCAGGCTCCAGAAGAATGGATGCTTTAGCACATGTTTCGCTGAGGGTCGCTGCTGGGGATCCATTGCGATCATTTTCTCTATCAACTCCCGTGCAATGACATCTTCTAAAATGGAGAATGTACACAAATGACTTGTTATTTAACAGAATGTTACGATGAAACATCAAAACCTCTCACTAAAGCATACTCTTCCATGCAGGATTCCACTCCAAAAACTCATCCCAATAAAACAATGTAGAACTCCCACCACCCCTGGGGCAACAAGGGGATAACTTACTTTGTGGCTTGAGAAAAGGAAGGACTGAAAATACCTGATCCTGGTACTTTGGGAGACACTACTGTGCCTCTAGGTGCTAGATGATGAGCTACTAAAATGATATGGATTGTACGTAGAGATATTCAAGATAAAAGTTGGGAAAAAAATAGGCCTTTTGCAAAGTATGTGTGAGTTAATCTTCTTTTTGGGGGGAAACAGGATCTTAATAGGTAGCTTAGGTTAGCCTCCAACTAATATTTTTCCTGTACCTGTCTCTGCAGGGCTGGGATTATAGGTGTGCATACTTCCATAAAAATGAGGTAGAGTCCGATGTGGTGCTATACTTCCTAAAGCCCAGGTGACCAGCTGGGGTGCAGGGCTTCTGAGGATGCAGTGGCAGTGCCAGCCCAGCCTTCCACTCACCATGCTTGTCTGGGTGGAAGCAGTCAAGGCTGCAGGCACCCAGGAGGATATTAGCCTGCCTCTGAAGGGACTTGCCGAAAGGGTGGCTGCCCTCTGAGATGACGTAGTAGAAGACACAGCCTGCCGAGAAGATGTCCACTGTGTAGGTCTAAAAAGAAATGCAGGATATAAAAGGCCTCGCACAGAGTTCTGGCTCCCTGGGGAAGGAAACAACGCTGTTTCCACTGCAGGCCCTGAAAGCAAATGAATTAGTTGGCTGGTGGATGTGAAGGAGGCAGTGGCATCCTACTGTTGTGGTCACAGTCAAGGTCATGAGTTGCTGGCTCTGCCTCTTGTGAGCTGGAAGCCCCTGACTGCTCCGTGTCTTGGTGTCCTCACACGTGGATGAGGACAGCTGTAGTATTTAAGTGCACTGACTTCCCTGTTGTGCCCTGTTGCCTCTAATGCAGCAGGTAGGCAAACTTTGCCAATAAGGAAAGAAAACAGTTTGGTTCCAGAAAGAAACTGTCACATTTCCAGTGAAGTCACTTTTGACATTATCAAATGAGGTCTCTTGAAACCACGTATCCCATGAGACCACTGGAGATGAGTTGTATTTTAAGGAGACATACACCACTCCATTTCTCTCTCCTGCTACTTGAGATAAAACACTGGGGAAGAGGGATCTGAATATGGCTTAAGTGCCCGCTTCTAGGGTCACTTAGATTCTACAAGATGACTTGTGACAGAAGGCCAGGGTTCATCACCTTCCATGTTAGAGAAAACAGACGTTGAATAAGACATTACACATTCAGCTTTACAACAGCCTTGTAGGGTGAGCAGAACAAATGTCACATTCCAGTGGAGGACATGGATAGAAAAGTTCAAGAAAAAGCTCAGGGTAAGTGCTACCTAGTAACAATCCTCCAAAGCTCCACTTCTGGCTTTTTGGTGCTTTAGAGATGAGTCTCACGGACTTTCCTACCTGGGATGGCTTCACACCACAATGCTCAGACCTCAACCTCCTCAGTAGCTAGGATTATAGGCATGAGCCACTGGTGCCCAGCCACACAGTGTGCTTTCTTATAGTTCTTTGTTGTATCTGACTTTTGTAATTAACTGACCAGTTGATGGGCTCCAGGGAACTGGCTAAGAAGATGCCTACTATGTCTGCTCTGCTCACACTGGCTGATCCACTCAGGTCTGAGCAGGAAAAGTATAAGGTGAATCTGTATCAACTTTTGCTAGAGAGCAAGATGCTCAAACAGAAGTGGGCTATAATAGATGCTGAAGTCAATTCGAAAGGGCTCCTGTTGACCAGATATGGAACAATTTTAGAATCAAAAAGAGAAAGGAAAGAAGAAGAGGAGGAGGAAGAGGAGGAGGAGGAGGAGGAAGAGGAGGAGGAAGGAGGAGGAGGACGAGGACGAGGAGGAGGAGGAGGAGGAGGAGGAGGAGGAAAGCAACCTGAGACAATAGTGATTATGAAAAAAAAAAAAAGGATAGAGAAAAGGGGAATACAAATAAAGCTATTTTTGACCTGGCACCAGTGGCTCATGCCTGTAATCCTGGCTACTCAGAAAGCTGAGATGTGAGGATCATGGTTTGAAGCCAACCTGGGCAGGAAGGTCAAGCTGTGGCAAGTAGTAGAGCTTAGGGACAGTGCTCAGGCCATGGATTTCAAGGCTCCAGTACTGTCACCCCCCCCGCCCCCCCAAAAGTTATTCTTATAGAAGAATGTCAGCCAAAGAATGTAAGAGGATTTCATGTGCATAGTGCTTCAGGCAAGGTTGGTCAACAGATGAAAGTGACTAGGAAGATGACTGTTACACTGTGCCAGAGGATCATCTCACACATTATTTGCTAACAATGAAGGAGGAAATGAACCTTCTCAGTGGAGAGCCATTGATATAGGTGACCCAAGTTAGCATCAATACAGGGGAACAACAATGATGGTATTATCTGCCATCACATGCCTCCTGACGCAGTGACCTGCAATCTATTCTTGCCCCAAACATTTCACTTGAATCTAATCAACCTGTGAAAGAAACTTTCATCTGTGTGACCTGAGAGAAGCAATTTAAAGGAAGAAGGATGAAAGGTTGTAAAATAAAGAACACATACAAAAACAATGAAAATAGGACATTTGCTCATCTTGTGCAAGTCTCAGTTTCCCAAAATATAACAGAGTTATAAAAAGTGATTAAGTGCCGGGCGCTGGTGACTCACACTGTAATCCTAGCTACTCAGTAGGCTGAGATCTGAGGATCTCGGTTCAAAGCCAACCCAGGCAGGAAAAGTCTGTGAGACTCTTATCTCCAATAAACCACTAGAAAACTGGAAGTGGTGCTGTGGCTTAAGTGGTAGAGTGCTTGCCTTGAGCTGAAGAGCACAGGGACAGCGCCCAAGCCCAGAGTTCAAGCCCCATGACCAACAAAAAATAAAACAAAATAAAAAGTGACTAAGCTGGGTGCTGGTGGTTCACGCCTGTAATCCTAGCTACCCAGGAGGCTAAGAGACTCTTATTTCCAATTAACCACTAGAAAACTGAAATGACACTATGGCTCAGAGTGGTACACTCAGGGACAGCACCCAGATCCTGAGTTCAAGCCCTACATAGGACAAGTGTTCACATTTGCCCATCATGTAAACAATATAAAGATTTCACAAGCAGCAATTTGTTAAAGGAATGTCATTCTTCACTGACATGCCCTCACTCCTAAACTGCTGAGACACAATGGGCTGGTTTTAAGGTTTTCTGAGGGCAGTGCCCAGAACTCACAGGGTTCTCCTTGCAGTCTTCGCTCAGCATCTCAGGGGCAATCCAGCCTTCGGTGCCAGGTACCCCAGAACGGCGGCTGAAGCTGTGTCTGCCCACTGCCAGCTTCTTGCAAAGGCCAAAGTCGGAAATCATGGCCTTGATCCTGCCATGTGCATTGGGCATGGAGAGGAGAATGTTGTGGGGCTTCAGGTCTCTGTGAACTAAGAGAGAACTCCAGATTTGATCATGCTTACCACAAGCGGCTCTGGCTCCCTACAAGGGGAAATGTCCTTGTCAGACCCCCAAATATACCTGCTTGCCCATTTCTAAAAGTTCTATTTTTTTAGGTACTTTATTCCTCTTCAAATTCTTATGTAAGTTATCAAGACACTACTCTCTACCCTCACACATCAGTGATGTAATGAAGAGCTTAATGAAAGATGAAGTGTACCTGTGCCGTTCCACCACCCCTTCCTAGCAAAGGGGAGCCTCTTACCAATGTTGAGGGAGTGGAGGTACGCCAGGCCTGAGGTGGTCTGCTGCAGCAAGGTGATGGGCTCTAGACCAAGGTGGGCAAAGTCCTTCTGTTCCACGTACTACAAGAGACATAGGGGCAAGGTCACAATAACAGACAGTTTGCAGGACTTCTTGGCCTGGGGGCTCACTTTCTTTTACTCCCCTTTTCTAACAATACTCTTTCTAATCTATATTTTCTTCATAAATTTTTTGGGGGGTGTGTACTGGGGTTTGAATTCAAGGCTTCACATCTGTGAAGCATTCTACTACTTTAGCCATGCTCCTAGACCCCAAATTTGTATTTTCTAACAGACCTCCTATGGCCAATAGTCTGATTTAAACAAAAAGGGCTCCAATTTACTAATTTATAATGAGAAAGAAAAGAAGACTAGATGCTCAAGTTCACTGTGCACGTAGGTAAACACAGTGGAATCCAAATGATACAGTAGTATTTCAGGATGAGCCTGGAAACAAAGCAAAAGCTTTTATGGCCTAGACTCAACCAGCAACATCCAAGCCTACCAGCCACAACTGACCACTTCCCAGAAGGCAAAGGGGCAGAGATGCCAGATGCAACCCAAGACTGCTCTCTCACACTGAGTGGACCATACTACTATAACTGGGGAGAAAAAAAATGTTCTACTTTTGCTGGGTGCCAGTGGCTCATGCCTGTACTCCTAGCTACTCAGGAGGCCAAGATCTGAGGATCACAGTTTGAAGCCAGCCAGCAGAAAAGTCCCTATGACACTCTTTTCTCCAATTAACTACCGAAAAACTGGAAGTGGCACTGCGGCTTAAAGTGGTAGAACACTAGCCTTGACTGAAAGAGCTCAAGGGACAGAGCCCAGGCCCTGAGTTCAAGCCCCATGACCAAAAAAAAAGTTCTGCATTTGGTGCTGTTAAATGAGCATACGCATTTGTAACATATATCAAACACATACATTTAAAATGAGTCCATTTGGGGCTGGGAAGGTGGCTCAGTGGTAGAGCGCTTGCCTTGCTGCATGAGGCCCTGGGTTCGATTCCCCAGCACCACATAAGCAAAAAGAAAAAAATCCGGAAGTGGCACTGTGGCTCAAAGTGGTAGAGCGCTAGCCTTGAGCTGAAGAGCTGAGGGACAGCGCGCCCAGGCCCAGAGTTCAGGTCCCATGACTGGACCCCCCCAAAAAAATAAATAAATAAAATGAGTCCATTTCATTGCACTATAATTCAATAGCCAATAAAATAAAATTTCAAAATAATAAATTGGCAAACTGTAAAATGATATCCCATTGGCAAGGGAAGGCAAGCTGCAGCGGCCACGGCAAAGCTGTCACCCATTTAAGCACCTGAAGGCCAGCCTTCAGGCTGCAGCTGCACTTTTTTACTTGGCTACCAGTCCTCTCAAGTCTGGTGGGAAAATGTGTCTTCCTCCCCTCCCCCCTAATCAAAAGCAGTTCCTAACCCTGTGGGGAAAGATGGAGATGGCCAGGGTGGCTCTGGAAAGGTGTTCTGATGGGGCAGAAGCCTATCATGAAGGCCTACAGCATGGAAGGAAGTCGGGGAATCCTTGGAAGTCAGAGTGAACCCACCTCCTGCAGTGTGGCTGCGCACAGCTCGATGGCAATGTACTGGAACTGCCGGTCCCTCTCCGTGCAGAAGTAACGGATCACATTTGGGTGCTCATCTGACTCTCGCAGCAGCTGGACCTCCCGGTCAGCGAAGCTGAAACACTCGGGGAGGATCCTCTTCACAGCCACATCACGATTGTCAAACATGCCCCTGTGGGACCAGCAGCAGCAGCAGCAGTTGAGTTTTGGTTAATGCAGGTCAGGCTTGTAGGAAAAAATGCCACCTGTGGACCCACAGTCCTCCCAGAGGTCCCGACAACCACCGGCAGCTCCATCCTCCTAGAACATGGCTCCCACGGTTTGAGCTGGTGGGGAGGGTATGGAGCTGGCTATTCTACTTACCGGTACACAATTGTGCCCTCGGCTCCATGACCCAGGACATCCTTGGGACAGAATGAAATTTTCCCCACAATCACCACACTGGTTTCCTCATCTGGAACAAAACAGGAAAAAGAAGACAATCACCTGAGGAACTTCAAGACCTCAGCTTCTTGCCCTCTGATTAGAAGTTCGGTTTTAAAAGAAGACTCTACTAACCCAGATTCCTGATAGGCAAGAGCCAACTCAGCCCACTGCTCACTTATGGCTAGGACATTCGGCTTGTGCCTTTGTAATATATTGAGACTACATGTCTTAAAGCTTTCTCAAAGATAAGGATTCTCTCTAGAAGCTGATATATTTATATTCATTTACATATAACTATTTAGTGGTTAATGAAAAAAGAAAGATACACCTCCAAGACCTGGAGCTGAAACATCCCGGTGGTGGACATGTAATGAAGAGACTGGCCTACATCCACAGGCTTGTGTCAATCTCAGAATAAGGACCCTGACGACCAACTAAGATGACTCCCTGAGAGGAAACTGGGCTGCAGCTGCACTTTTCTACTTGGCCACCAGTTCTTTCAAGTCTGGTGGGAAGATGTGTCTCTCCCCGCCCCCCTTCCCCCACACCCCCCAGTCAAAAGCAATTCCTAACCCTGTGGGGAAAGATGGAGATGGCCAGGGTGGCTCTGGAAAGGTGCTCATGTGATGGGGCAGAAGCCTATCATGAAGGCCTACAGCATGGAAGGAAGTCGGGGAATCCTTGGAAGTCACCGTGAATCCTTGGCAACAGCATTTCATCATCTCGTGGAAGGACATGGTGCACTACAAGTTCTCAGGTGGTGTTCAAAGGAAAGAAGACAGAATGGCAAAGGGCTTTACCCTCATCGTCTTGCTCCAGGGAGAGGCTGGCACCGGCCTTGGAGGCGGAGCTGCTGGAGTGCATTGAGTGGTTGGAGGCTCTGGGGGATGGGCTGGAGCTGCTGGTTCCTGAGCTCTCTGAGTAGAGGCCAGATGTGTCTAGGAGCTCCGTGTCCTGGGTTGCATCTCCATGGTGGTGGAAAGGCAGCTGCTGCTGCTGTAGGAGCTGGATTTTCTCCAGTTCCTTCTGGAACTGCTGGTGCTGGAGCTGGTGCTGCTGATGCATGCTCTGGGAAGAGAAACCCGCCCACATCTGGGTAAGTATAGCTCTTTCTGTGGGGAAACAAGCTGCAGGGAAGGGAGTGCACCCAGACAGAGGAGACATACGAACCACTCAAGACATAAGGAGACCAGAGAGAAGTCATAGGGAGGTGGAATCTGTTCAATGACTAGAGGGTTTTCTGCCAGTAAGAACTCCTGCTACCAAATCCCCAAACCTCCAACCCCAGAGCAGCCTTGTCAAGACTGTCTACCAAGGAAGAGACTGACATAGATGGAGGGTTGGGACAGATGAAGGGGAATCTATTTAATTTGAGAATGTTTTGACTTTTATCAGTCTTGAGGTTGTTGCAAACAGCAAGAATGGTGACCAGATGGGTAGGAGGGTGGTGAAGAGGAGTAAGCCCTGCCTCTTGCTCCACCATGGCTGTGGACTTGATGGAGTTAGTGCACGGGAGGTCAGGCAGAGCCTGAACCACAGCGCCTGGCCAAGGCCCTGCTCCCTGAGTCTATCACCATGCTGCCCCAAATCCTCACTCTTCTTAAATATGCCAAAAGCTGTGCTCCATCCCCATTAGAGGCAGCAGGGATTTGTGATTATTCCTGTCCAGGTGTGGGAGGTGGAGTGGGGTATAGCCAACAACCCAATGGAGAGTTTCCCAGCTTGTTCTCTCTGAACTGGGAAAAAAATTACCTATTAACTGAGGAAAGGCACTAGGGAAGGAAGGTACTTAGCTTCTCAGAGCCTAGTTACTTCTTTATTGACAGAGGATAAATAATAGTGACCTCACAGAACTGAGTAAAGGAAAATAAAACAGGAAGCAATCACTTCCTCTACCACAGAACTTTTGTTTGCTTATTTCCAACTAGGAAGATGAAGGAATCATCGTACTTTATTTTGCTTTAGATGATCTAACAGTCAGTTTCAAAGAGAGGAGAGATTTTCATCTACTATCCTCAGTATTAAACAGGATACATAAATCAGTTTTGTAGCCCAATTCTTGTAAAAGACTCAGCTTTGGATATGAAATCTAACCTAATGTCTCTTTCATTTTTTGGGGGGGTCCAGTTGTGGGGCCTGGGCGCTGTCCTTCAGCTCTTCAGCTCAAGGCTAGTGCTCTACCACTTGAGCCACGGTGCCACTTCCAGCTTTTTTCTTTTTGCTTATGTGGTGCTGAGGAATCGAACCCAGGGCCTCAGGCATGCAAGGCAAGCACTCTACCACTGAGCCACCTTCCCAGCCCTCATTTTTTTTTTTTTGCAGGTACTAGGACTTGAACTCAGGGCCTAGGTACTGTCCTTTAGCTTTTTGGGTCAAGGCTGGCACTCTGCCGCTTGAGCCACAGCCTCATTTCCAACTTTCTGATGGTCAATTGGAAAAAGAGTCTCACATGTTTCTGCCTGGGCTGGCTTCAAACTTCAATCCTCAAATCTCAGCTTCCTGAGTAGTTGGAATTAGTTGGCATCAGTCAGAAGCGCCTGGCTTACAATGTTTCTTGAAGATAAGCAAATTTTGACTTTTAAATGTGAAAAGCAATGTGCTGGCAGTTTTTGTGTGGCCCTCCCTGACAAATAGCAACGGGAGGAGGAGTGCTGGGATGTAGACAGGCAGTGGTAGGGGCTGAATTTACCAGCGGGTAGGTGATGATGAAAGCCACCCAGCCGACCAGCAGGAAGGTGCTCAGGATAATGGTGGCCATGTCTTTGAGCATGGAGTCCACAGGAGCCTCAGGCTTGGCAGGAGCAGGAGCCAACTTTTCTTCTACATCCTGAGACATGGTAATTGGTGTGTTTTCTGAAGCCTGGTCAACCAGGTTAATAACCTTGAATAAGAGAGAGAGATACACACATACTACATCACTGTAAAACTTCTAGTTAGATACAGAGAGCTGAGCGACCAAGAGAGGTAATCTCTACTTACAATGTAAAAGTAGGCTAGAATGGGCATTTTCTTAAATGCTGTAATATATATATTTTTAAGCCAATAAAAAGGTATATAGTCAGTCAGGAGCTAATAAATAGTTCATGCCTGTAATCCTAGCTACTCAGGAGGCTGAGACCTGAGAATCATGATTCAAAGTCAGCCAAGGCAGGAATGTCTGTGAGACTCTTTTTTTTTTTTTATTGTGAAAATACCATATAGAGGGGCTACAATTACATGGGCAACATAATGAGTATATTTCTTTCATTTGTTTTTTTTGGGTCTAGTCATGGGGCCTAAACTCTCGGGCTGGGCGCTGTCCCTCAGCTCTTCAGCTCAAGGCTAGCGCTCTACCACTTGAGCCACAGCGCCACTTCCGGCTTTTTTCTTTTTTCTTATGT